CTGTGCGTCAATTTTATCTCACAACTTAGACATCCACATTACTCACACTCTCATAACACACACATATATATAGGGCCTTGAGGGTGGGCACGTTAACGGCGTCCGGTGGACGGTCTGTGTACTCAAACCTACCTCTGGCGCCGGTGCCCACCTCTCAATTTTAAATCCATGTAGACATTGAGGGTTCTCGGGAGGGGCCGTGCTAACACCTGCTGCTCTCTGGCAGCAGCACCATGCTCTCCCTTGTTTTAAATGCACTTTAAACAACACGCAGCAACACTACACATGAGCGGGAGGAGGGAGGTATGGGGTCTTCACACCCCCCCGTTCTCTGCTAGCCATCGGGGCGGGGGGGCTGGGAGGAGATGTTGGCTGTCCGATTGGCCTCCCTGCTGCTGCGGAGCCTGGGACGGTCTGCTTGCCTCCACCCCGGGGGGAAGGGTAACATCTCTTGGGTCTGGGTTCTGTTTCCCCCTCTGGGGGCGAGGGTACCTGGACCCGGGGTATAGAGTATGTTTGGGGAGTGTGATTGTGTGTACATGACCATTTATGTCAATCCTTACGTTGGGTGAGTGCTGAGTGTTTGTATATGTGTGCATGAGGGTGGGAATGCATGTTTGTGTCTGTGTGTGCCTGTTTGTCTGTGTCTATATGTCAGGTCGGGTCTTAGACTCCACCTCTCTGGGAACTCCCAGGCCCTCCAAGGCCTATCTCCCCTCACCACACTCCCTGCCAGTGACTGATGCCCTCAGGGGCCTGATATCCACTTACGAGGACATTATACTGCCACTGTTCTATCAAAATTTAAAACGAATGTCCTCATATGTGGCTCTCATTTTTCTCAGAAACAAAAATCAGGTAAAAAAATAAAATAAAATCTGGTAATTCTTTGTTTTTACATTCATCAGGTCCCAATCAGCCCAAATAGCAAAGAAAAATTAAAAATGCCATGAAAGAGTTCGGGTCTTCGGAGGTTAAAGTGCCACGGTGATTCTACCTGAGAAAGCATTAGCAGCATGATGCAGTTGTTTCTGTTCTGGACACAGTTTGCCCTGCATTGTGCTCATGTCCTTTTTAAAACATAAAAGTAATGGGTGTATCCATGCTGCAGACCGCGCCACTATATTCTACCTCTTGCACAAGAATTGAAATAAGCTGGTTGTAGCGTGAGTGCAAGTGGAATCGATAGAAAATCAAAGTAACAATTCCAGAGGAATTAAACTACTGGGAACTACTTGACTTCCATCCCTATATCCAAGGGATGCTGGGGAAATCAGGTCACAATGAACCATATTCAGCACCTCCATTGCTGAGGCTTCTAGAAGGAGCTTTGGCTGCAAGGTGGTTAGTGCATGAATTTCTCCGAACCAGATGGGTGACACTGATTCTGATTCTGTGACTCTTTCTTTTGCCAATAAGCTAAAGAAAGAGTCATGTTCAGTCTTGTCTAGCCTGTGGAACTACAGATGTAGCTGAAGGGTACCACCACACCAAACAGAATGTATTCTGATTGGTAGCTGAAGAAAAAACTTGTGTGTTGGAAGAGTTCGATGAAGTCATGGAGAAAGACTTTCGGTCTTCCTTGAAGTGATTCTATCAAACTGTCAGATGGGATTCAGAATTTGTAAGCGGTGCTCTATTCACAAGGTGTATACTGGGAGTGGGGCACTGCTGACCTCAAATGAAGCCGTAATCGGACGATGGAAAGATATTTCCAGGAACTCCTCAATACCAGTGAAACTGAAGTCTTGGCATGAGGGGGACGAATCGCCCATCGGGTCATGGTGAAGAGAGAGCTGAGCATAAATGTGAAGCTGACAATTTACAGTCAAACTACGTCCCTACTGTCACAGATGGTCAGAAGCGCTGGGTAGTGACAGAAAGAATAAGATCACAGACACAAGCGGTGGAAATGGGCTTTCTTCAATAGGTGGGTGATCTGTCTCTTAGAGATACGGTGAGGAGTTTAGCCATCTAAATGGAAACCTTAAGGGATCTCAATACCACATAATCACATTTCAACTAGAGGTGGGAAATGAATTTTAATTGCGATTATTTAATTTGAAAAAAGTAATGTGTAAAAAAAAAAAGCATTTAATTGCACTTTGCATTTCATGCAAAGGGGAACTTTTGTCAGTGCACGATTTCCTGCTATACCGATTACACTGATGCACATATCAGAGCTATAAAGAATCAGAAGAAAGTGGTTTGCTAGGACTGATCGGAGGCAAATTTCACTTCAAAAGACTACTGGAAGACTAATGGATTGCTCTGGACTGTAGACCACTATAAGTGGTAGAAGATAGGGGATTAGAAAATGTGCTACAGTTAGCGTAAGGTGAACCAACTTTCCAACTGCCGTGCTAAAAGACTATTTCAAGTCAAATCCAACACCTTTATGACACTGAAAAGCAAAATTTGATGCATTACAAACAGCCCTGCTAATATGGAGGTGGAGCAGGGCATCTCCTAATTGGAAGGTTGGTAGGTTAATCCACGGCTGCTCCAGCCTCCAGACGGCATGCCTTTTTTTTTTTTTTGGTCTTTGGCTCTCGGAGGAGGTGGACGCATCTTTCATCCTCTCCTTCTCCTTATCTTCCCTGCTGCTGCTTCTATGTCCTTGTCTGATCTTGTCTGACTCTAACCCTGAGAGACCTTCTCATTCTCGCTCTTGTTCTCTAAACCCTAAAGAAGAACTATGGATTTGATCAACTGGTCCCTGAATGCAATTGACACCCTCTTCTCAACGAGAAGCCTAAGATCAGGAGCCTGAGTGCCCTGGAGGGACGTTCCCTGCTGGATACACGATGGACGGGTGGCAGAAGTGGCGCGTCGTGTGCCTAGCGGGACTGTCTATTGAGGACATTGAAGACATCTACCTATTCGGCTAATGGGGCTCTTGCTGATTGGAGCTGGCTTGGCCCTGCATGGTGTATCGGAAATGGAAGAAAATGGTGACTGCCACCTTGATCGAAATGTGGGAAGAGCTGTGAGTACTCAGACTGTTCCTACTGAATATAATATGGGAAAGATCTTGGAGGAGCCCCGGAGACCATTGACAGACGATAAGAACAACTGTAAAATTGATGCAGTCTGTTCGCTCTAAAACAACATATCCATCAGCTACCTCCCCACCCTGACGGCGCCAGCTGGATGCTCTTGAAGGCTGACGCGACGAGAACAACAACAATTCGGGGCGAAAGGACACTTTCTCAGGCTGAACTCAGGACACACATACTGACACGCCCTCACCATCATCCCCGCCTTCCCCGAATCCAACGCCTCCTCACATGCTTACCTCCCATCTGATGTGGACAGCGGTCCAGCTGGAGGCGCAATCACAAGATTGCAAAGTCCCAGATGCAGCTGTGCACATTGGCATACTCCCCCATGTTGCTTGTCTTGTGTTTTTATGATGTTATGATGTGATGATACTTGTGCTTCTTATGTGATGGAGTTTTTGTCTTCTCCTCATGCTGACTGCCTTTAAGGATCAGTATGAGCAGAAATTCTTTTTTTCTCCTGATCTGACCTTTTGTTTTACACATTTAGTTGTTTTTCGTTTTGCTACCTAGCCTGACCTGTCTCCCCATTGTGAATTTGTGTTTTATATGTACGGTCGGAAAGGTTTGTTATATCAGTTGCAGGCAACTGCAACCGACAAATAAATGCATTTATCCAATCCAATCCTAAGTGTCTTTGAGCAAGTTAATTAACCCCAAGTCTGATGTATCAATGTCAATGTTAGAAAAGACTCTAACAGTCAGGTTTAGAGTGCAGTCAGATGGATGAATGTTGTATTAAGTTCTTTGAGTGCTCGAGCAGAGTTGGAAACAGCACATTTTCCATTTAAAGACCTGTATAAGGCTAAATATATGAACACCATATGCATTTTCTCCTAGCATTTATAAAGCACCAGCTTTATAAAGAAACGTCTCCAACAAACATAATTTATCTTTATGGATGATTTACAAGCCTAAAAGCTCAAGTGATCATGAGAATATCATACGACAAAGCATCAGTCTCTGTGAGCAAAGCAGAGCACTTAGTAGATGCATTGTTTTATAGTTCTTTGCTAAGCACATCACATTTGAGCCTTTAGAAATCTGTTTTACTGCTCGGACTCTTTACTATGTCAGCACCATAGTAACGCGGTTTGATTATACCGCAAACAATAAACACATTAAAGGAACACTTCTTAATCAGAATGTAGCATCAAGTTAGTTAAACTACTGGGATATTGGTCTGGGTGGTTAAGTAGCAGAGTTAATCAGTTTCTGTTGCTTTGGTGTTCATGACATTAACAACAGGTGCAAAAACTCAACACAGGAGTGGTTTGACAGACAGAGACACTGACACTGACTGTGTCCTCAGCTCTGTCAGGAGACAGTTACAGAGCCATCAGCAGGAAGCGTATCTGCCACATCCCAACAAAATGACTGGTCCAGCAGGCCACAGGTGTGAATGCCGTGGACTAACAGAACCAGACTTCATTAGGGAGGCACCAAGGTTCACCATGAACACATGTTCAGATGTGAAAGAGTCTGAACTAATGAGTAACATTTTGAGCTGGTCCAGTAAAACTTTGGCAAAGTGGAGTAGCGCTCTGCATCATTTTTATCACTCCGAAATTTGGTGCGTCTTTGAACTCAGCCCTCTGTAGGCTAATCATTTTAATTTCATCAAACAATGTGACATCCTTTCATTCCTAACACCATGTCTGCACAGTTATAGTCCATGACTTTTTTTCCCCATTGAAATCGGATATGTTTCCAAAATGTTCCTTTAATTTTTAGACAGTGTACTCCCCCAGAGAACAGTTTAAAACAAAGTTTTAATGGCTTTTCAAAATTGCACACAAAGACAGATCGGGACAAGAGACAGCAGGAGCGAGGTGGAAAGAGTTTGTACCTGTAACTTTAGTAAGCTGAAGCCAATCATTAAAGAATCTCATATTGTAATGAGGAGGTAATTAAAGACAAAAGAAAAAACCACCCAACCTGTTTACATCCTCTTCCCTCGGAAAGTGCGTAGAGAGGGGTGAATAACTCTCAGGGGAAGCCACGGGCAGGTCGGACTTGTAATGCAGAGAGCCGGTGTTGACGGGGGAAGAGACGTGATTTTTCATGGCAGGAGAAAAAGCTGCAGCACAACACAGCAAACAACAGAGTAACAGATGACTAAACAGAGAAGATGAGAAACTGACATCTGGAAGACAGTTGTACTGTGTACTGTGTACATCACGAATCTTATGAACTAAACAGCAACATATTCGACTGAGTAAAGCTCGCTGCAGTCTGGTTCTCCATATTCTATTGATATATAACTACGGACTAATCTAGTTCATAGCAACTGCATAACAATCTATTCCATAAGACTTACACTGCATGTTATCAGGAGGCCCATAGGGATCTGATAGATACACACTGGTGGGTTTCCCCACCTTTAAAGTGACCACATCAGACGTGTTCTTCAAAATGCCCACAGCCTCTTCATGAGAAACGTCCTCCAGACTGTAGTGGTTCACCTGTGCAGACAGATATATGGGTTCAGAGGCGACCTTTTCTTCTTATTGCTTGTTTCTAAAGAGTCCAACAAGCTCCCTGCGTCCGTGAGAGTGGATTATGACAGATGGTCTTCGGATGAGAACACACCCGCAGAGAGGTAATTTAATTAGGGGGTGATTAAGCAAGACAGATGCCCTCCTAGAGAGACGGCTTGTTGTTAAGCAGGTTGCTTTCACAGAGAGTGGCAGACACGTCTCACTACAGTATGACGGCTGCCTGGTTAATGAAATGATGAAATAATGACTCCCATTATGACTCCCACTGCATACTGAGTAAGGCTGACTTCTAACTAAAATTAACTTGGTTGTATATTTTCACTAACCAGTCAAGCTTCAGCTTAAATCGACATGTTTCCATTTTGGATGTTGAACTCTGTATTTTAAGCCAGGAAATGTTTGTGCAAAGTTTTGTCCTTTTTAGTATATGAAATTATTTAAAGATTTAATCTGTAATGGCTGCTATTATCTTGACAAGTATTTATTATTTGGCGTGCTGCGGGGAAACGCCTGTTCTAACGACCGGTGACTATTTTAAACCTAAAGCAACAAAAACATATTGCAGTATCAGTGTGTAATAATAGAGTAAATACACTGGTTCTTATGTAGCACTTTTCTACTCTATGTGAGTATTTGAAGCTCTTCACACAAGCTGCCATTCACAATCACACAAGCATATCTAGCATTCACAGAAATTCATACAAATGCAATGGAAAGCAACTTGAGGGCAGTATCTTCTCCACGGCACACAGACTGGAGCAGGCAGGGATCGAACCACCAACCTTCCAATTAGCAGATGAGCCTTAGTGTTGGTTATTCAAACTGTGTTTATTTGGCACAGTTCTCCAAAAGCTGATGCTGCTCATCTGGACAGCTGGTAACTGTGCAGGGGCGGGTCTAGCAAAGTGTTGCCAGGGGGCCAGGTAGGGCATTAACAGGGAGAGGGGGGCACAAAGAAATACTTTCTTATTCTCATTTAAAATGTCTCGCTTTTAAAAAATAATTATCTGAATCTTACAACAAACGATTGATAGATTGATGCATATATACCATCAGAACAGTGAACATCACTGTCACAATAGTGTTTGTTTTCATTCAAAGGCTTTATGATTTTTCCTATAATGGCGGCCGGTCTCTAGTCAAAATGCTCAGGCTGATCTTTTGTCCCAGTCCAGCCCTGTAAGCAGCTCATCTGCAGTCTGGTGTTACCTACATCTTCCTGTTTGGAAGGCAGAATTTCTGAGTTCTGAGTACAATCGAAAGCACCACGACTGCAGTTTTTGTGTTGGATGTAAAAAGCGCACATGACGCTGTGACGTAGGCTAGAATCATGGCAGCAGTCAATGATGGTCCAGGCGTGGGATTTCTCTCGTGGAAATATGCACATTATCTTTTCCTTTCTATTGGTAGGTGGCACAGTGCACTGTGGCAAGTAAGCAAGCTAGAAGACTGGCAAAGTTATGGAAGCAACACATTAACAAGAGAATTCTGAGTAAAACAGGACCGCTCACATCGACCAAGTGTGTCTACTTTTGGAGCTGTGTCTTCATTCCACCTATTTCACATACAAGGGTCAGTTCTACAGGCAGAAACATGAGTGTGCCATGGGTTCCTCAGATTCACTCATTGTGGCCAATTTGTACATGGAAGAAGTGGAAAAGAGGGCTTTGCTATCCAACGCTGGAACACCACCAAGTCATTGGTTCAGGTATGTGGATGACACCTGGGTGAAAATCAAATCTCAGGATGTTCCACATTTCACGGATCACATTAACTCGGTGGACCGACACATCAGATTCACCAGGGAGGATATGAACAGTGGCAGGTTAGCCTTCTTAGACTGTGAGATTTCCATCAGTAATGGAGGACATTTAAAAGTTGACGTGTACGGTAAACCTACATATACAGATCAGTATCTAAGGTTTGACTCTCATCATCCACTGGAGCACAAACTGGGCGTCATCAGGACGCTACAACACAGAGCGAACACCATCCCCACAGACACAGCAGCCAGGGAGGCAGAAGAACAGCAAGAAGGCCCTGAGTGAATGTGGTTATCCCAGCTGGACTTTTGTCAAAGCTGGGAAGGCTCCTAAAGAAAGCTCCAGCAGATCCAGGAGAGAAGGACAACCGCTGCCCACCTGTAGTGATCCCGTACGTGTCAGGAGTATCGGAGCAGCTGAGACGCATTTTTTCTAAACACCGTGTCTCTGTGGCTTTTAAACCCCAAAACACACTGCACAAAAAACTGGTCCACCCCAAGGATCGGGTCCCCTGACACAAACAGTAACAGTGTACGCTGTAAAGTGCCAGGATTTATACATCGGGGAAACAAAACAACCTCTGGCTAAGAGGACGGCACAACACAGAAGATATACCTCATCAGGCCAGGACTCTGCAGTCTATTTACACCTACAGGCCAGTGGACACTCTTTCAATGATGAGGATGTAACATCCTGGACAGGGAGGAACGCTGGTTTGAGGGCGGAGTCAAGAAGGCCATTTACGTGAAAAGGGAAAGACCATCTCTGAATGGAGGAGGGGGGCTAAGGGTACATCTGTCACCATCTTACATGCTGTGATTGCAGCCATTCAACTCTCTGTGAATGGGACTCATGGACTTTGATCAGTGGTTGTTGACCATGGTCATGAGACTTTACATATTGATGATTATAAACTGACCTCCCAGCCCATTGTTCCTTCAGTGGGCTGGTTTCAGTCATTATGCAAATGTCCTGTTTATAAGATTGAAACCTGCAGTCAGCTGAGACTGAAGACGTCACTTGATGATGACGAAACGTTTCTCCCACTGAAAACGTCCAGATGAACAGAATCACCTTTTGGAGATGTTCTTACCTGGATAAGTGAGTGTGAAGACATTTTGCACAGTTCTTAACCAAAACGTCTCCTCCACCAGATTTTCAATGTAATGTAACACTTTGCATTTAATAGAAATGAAAATAAAAATCTTTTTATGTTTAAATATTAATATGTTGGGGGATTTTTTCAATATATTTTTATGGATTTTATAATTGAGCAGTATACAACAATCACCTTCCAAAGAACACAATAGAAGGTGGACGGCAAGTCAACGAGGTGGTAATACAGCATACATAAATGTTAAGACAGAGCACATTTCACTTAAGTTTATCCATCAGGCTAATGACTGGTTGCCAAATCTTATAAAACACTCTCTCTCGGTTAGACAAGGTAAACCTGATTTTCTCCAGGTGGAGTACATTTCCAAATTCTCTCAACCACATTTCAAAGGTAGGAAGTTTATCAGACTTCCAGCTTTCTAGCCACAAGTGTGGTCATTGACACAACCTGCGTCTCTGCCTTGTCCCTTGCCCATCCCGGTTCAGACACCCCAAATAATGCTGCAAAGGGGAACATGGGAACTCCCTGCCAAAGGCTTTGGTCAGAAAATCAAACAAATGATTCCAAAAAAGTTAGTTTTTGGCATTGAAAGAAACGGTGAGATAAAGTTCCTCGATCACTTGAACACTTAAGACTGGCTGAAACGCTCTTATATATTTTTTCCACTTTAGTGGGAGAAAAATGCAACCTATACACAACCTTAAATTGGATCAGACTATGTCTAGCATTTATAGAACTACAATATATATTCTTAATGGAAGAATGCCAAATATCCTTGGGCAAGATACTAACCCCATGTTTGCCTACTGGTGGTGGTCAGAGGGCCCGGTGGCGCCAGTGTCCGGCAGCCTCGCCTCTGTCAGTGCGCCCCAGGGCAGCTGTGGCTACAATGTAGCTGCCATCACCAGTGTGTGAATGTGTGTGTGAATGGGTGGATGACTGAATGTAGTGTAAAGCGCTTTGGGGTCCTTAGGGACTAGTAAAGCGCTATACAAATACAGGCCATTACCATTTAATGCACTCTTGCCAAAGATCATCAGAAACATCCACCCCCAGTTCTTCCTGCCACTGCTCCCTAAAAGTATGAGATGAAGGACTGTATATATCCAGTAAGGCCCTGAAAAAGCGAGACACAGCACCTGTAGTGTACGGCTCAACTGACACGAAGCTGTCAAACACTGAGTTTCGAGGAATCAAATTGTATTGTGGAATAGATGCTTTGATGAAATGTCTCAACTGTAAAAATCTGAAAAAATGTGAATTAGGAAGATTAAATTTCACCCTCAATTGCTGAAAAGATGGAAAATGTCCATCAATATAAATATCTTTGAGAGAACAAATCCCTCTTCCCTGCCATGTCACAAACGTGATGTCCTCCAGCCCAGGTCTGAAGGCATGATTGTTACATATTGGAGCATCCAGATACATTTTAGGAGCCTTTACTGTGCCCAATATGTTGTTTTTAGTATGATGCTCTCTTGAAACAGAAAGATGAGTAGCTGTGAGTAGCTAGCACTGCCTCGTCTCAGCATGTTTTTCTAGATCAGCTGGGATAAAAACTCAGTTTTCCTTGTTAATTAGTGGGGAAAGTTATGAGTGGGAATTTTTTGTCTAAGGCTGACTTAAATGACGTTGAGGGTGATGTTTTTGAACTGCCTTAAAATAGCTGGTCCCTGCTGCTGCTCCCGCTCTCAGTGTGGCTAAGGTCCAACCATTCCCTGCACCCGTAGCAGTTCCTCGGGTGAGGGTGGCTAGGATTCAACCGGTCCCAGTTCCTACTTCCAGGGTGTTTCAGACCCAGCACTCTTCTGCACCCCTACTTGTTCTTAGGGTTGGAGTAGCTGGTGTCCTTTAGTTTCTACACCTGTCCCAGTTCTCATTTGTAATGTTCACAAATGCTGTGATGGGCTCTGAAACCTGACTAAAACGCTTTAAACAAACCATTCCTCTGCAGATGATAAGTAGGCTGTTTCACAACTTTCAAGAGAAAAAGGAAGATTGAGATTGTTTATAATTAGTTAAGAAAGCTGGATCAAATGATGGCATTTAAGTAACAGTTTAACTACTGCTCTTAGGCCTGTGTAGCCAATTAATAGATATTACAGTATGGAACATGGTATCGAAAGTAGCTGTGCACAATGTCGTGTCAGTGAAATGGTTATGACAATTTTTTTCTCTAATGGTTAAAAATTTATGGTAAATGGACGGATTCTTATATAGCGCTTTTCTACTCTTCCGGAGCACTCAAAGCACTTTTTACAACATGACACATTCACACAAGCATACAGGATACTTGGTATGCAGACCTGAGGAACCAGTTCCAACCACTAACCTTCCAATCAGCAGATGACCTGCTCTACAGCCACCCCACAAACTTACAGCATCTGGTAATCCTAGGCAGTCTCCCATCCAAGTACTAACCAAGCCCAACCCTGCTCAGCTTCTGAGTTCATACGAGAGCGGGCGTGCTCGGGGTGGTATGACTGTAAGCGCACCACTCTGACGTTTTGTCACCCTGGCTACAGTACTGAAGAGAAACCTGGGGTTGTTGATTAATGAATAGTAAGATGGTCTAGCTTTACAGGCTTTTTTACAGAGCAGCAAACTATTTTTACAAGCTAAACGATGATCTTATAAATTAAGATCATCATTTCCTCTACAGCCTACATTTATGTGCTTTAAGGTGTGCATTTGAGAATTATACCAGGGAGTCAAATATTCCCTTGACTTTTAGTTCAGGTAGCTGCTCTGCACTGTGTTGACACATGATAACAGTGGATTAATTATGTCCTTGTATTAAACTTACATGCTTAATCCATTATTATAAATTCAAATGTTAATAAGAGATGATTAGACAAAAGATGGGTTTCAAGAAAATACTGCTAAATGTTCAGTTTCTATGCCATACGTCAGAACAAGATCTGCAGTATGAAAGTGGTGGGTGGTAGGTCGGCCTAGCATCTTGCGGGCCGACCTTAGTAGTTTGCTCTGTTGCAGCCCCTTAGTTTTGCAGGACTCACTGACAGCAGTCTTGCGTCTGGCAGAAAGATGGCCGGAAAAAAATCCCGAATGATCGTGATCGGCGATCATGATTGAGCGCTTGGTGAAATCAAATAGAAGAAAAACAAGGATTCAACAGCTCAACCTGTGAAAGAGTGGTTCTGGGAACATGAGACATCATTTTCACACACGGATTGGCCACCACAGAGTCCAGAGCTCAACCTCCTTGAGAATCTTTGGGAAGCGCTGGAGAAGGCTTTGCGCAATGGTCAGACTCTACCATCATCAATGCTAGATCTTGGTGAAAAATTAATGCAACACTGGATGGAAATAAATTTTGAGACATTGCAAGACCTTATTGATTCAATGCCAAAGCGAATGCGTGCCATAATCAAAGCTAAACGCAGTCCAATGAAATATTAGAGTGTGTGACCTTTTTTGGTGGCGACTGGCAGTGTATAGCAGTGTGTAAAGATAGTCTCGATATGATTGAGACTGTGTGGTTACTTTGTAACCGTGGTTCTCTGAGTGAAAGACTTCAGCTCTCTCCAGATTCAGGCCGCTCGGAGACGCATCAACGGTTTCATGTTTGCTCAGCTGTTTTATACGTGGCCAGGCTAACTAGAGTGTCTTAAAGAAGTATTCACACGGCATGACCAAGGGGGTCATTCCCCTTATATATCGATTATGTAACGGAGTGGAGCAATACTCTCACACAGAGAAGGTTATAAGGTAACTGTACATTCTCTGACATCTAGCCTCTATTACTTGATGAAGTTTATACCACTGTGATTTTTACTGTACAGTCATGCTTAAGTATTTTCTATATCATCTTTCTGTGTTTAAAGAGAGCATCAAACTAAAAACAACATATTACTATTTGAGCAAAAACGATCTTTATTAAATGGTATTAAAAGTGTTAAATCACATTGGAAATCTGGTGGAGGAGATGCTATACTGAAGAACTGTGCCAAATAAAGAACATTTTAAACACAGGTTGAATAATCAGCAGAGTTAAACAGTCCATAAAAAGTGGGCTAGAATTACAGTTTGATAGGGTCCGAGTGTCTTGGGGCAGAAAAACACAAACACATACAAACAGCAGTTTGGGTTGTCAAGTGTTGCCATACCACTGGTAAATAGATTACAAATAACACCACACAATGCTCTGCAGCTGATATTGTCACTAAGACATTTTTAGATCCACAGGGAATTAACAGGGGTTAAGAAGCCACACCTCTCATACGGGCTTTTCAGTGAGCTTCATTAAAGCTCGTATACATCCAGAACTGTCATACACGTGTGTGCAATGTGGGCCTTACACGTGATGTTCATGCTGTTTCTCACCATTAATAATCTGTCTCCAACTTGCAGCCGGCCATCCTTTTGTGCCGCCCCACCATGAATAATTTTAGTTACATATATGCTGTTGTCACCAGGGATATGCTGGTTTCCCACTCCACCTGCAATACTGAAACCAAGGCCTGTGTGTGTGTGTGTGTGTGTGTGTGTGTGTGTGTGTGTGTGTGTGTGTGTGTGTGTGTGTGTGTGTGAGAGAGAGAGAGAGAGAGAGAGAATGACAGTAGTTAGTTTAAAGATATGACATAGGCATACACATTATGATATAGGAGGATGCTATAACTGTTGTATTTATTAATTGAAAGGGGCACGTTTTTGTGGCAGTGTCATGGGTTTTCAAAGGCTTTCTGACAATGAATACATTTCACAGTAACTTCAAGGTCTTAAGCTCTGCTGTGTTTACAAACCTCCCAGCTGTCATAACTACAGTAAGTAACACCCATTCTTGTGCTGAGCTCTGGAAATCCAGATTAATCATTCAGGGTCAAAAAATGACCCTCGCCATACACAAAATGTGCAGCAGTATCACTGAGAACGGAATATCATCAACTATTCTCTCAAATTTATAATGTACAAAATCATGTTTTTTAGGTCTATACCAACCTTTTGGTCCTTTGATTAGCTTGAGCTCAATGATTGTCTCTAGCATAGGCCTGCGGCGCCGCACATACAAATGGACAACAGAACCTGCAACCTTTAGGGCCTCTACTGCCTTACTGTGGGAAACTTCAGACACATCAGCATCATTCACCCGAAGGATGCAGTCATTTACTCTGGAAAAGGAAAAGTCATATCAATAGCTAATTCACATGAAGACAAACTTACAATACTAATCAGAATTTCATTAACTGATATAAAACTCAGTGGTGAGGAGAGTGTTTCCAAGGCAGGCGCACATCACGGACAAAATGCTAACCCCAAAGGCTTTGTTACACACTGAAGCTCAAACTTTTATCTCATTACATGACTTTTTTATTGACTGCTATTCCCGAAAAAAACAGAAAACCTGTGAATACATTCCAGCATATTTACAGCACAATCACACGCACATAGAACAATTCTGTATAAATGTTAAGGTCTGACAAACAGGGACAGAGCTAGCAAGCAACTGAGTTTGAATTCCTATTGGGCATCGACCAAAACTTCCATATGGTGGCAGCCAAGGACACTAACCTCCTGAAGGTTGCTCACAGTGACCAGGTGGGGCCCAACCCTCGCTCACACTCTCTCTTGCACATGTTACACCACTCCAGGACAACTTGGTGTAAACAGCAAACCGAGTTTATTTGGGTACCCCAGAACCATGGCTTTTACATACAGAACCCAAGCATGCTCTTCGCTTCTTCTTTTCCAGAACATTTCTTTTTTTCTTTTTTCCGTGCCTGCCCTCTACTGGTGGAAACGTGTAACAGCCAAAAACCCAACATAGCTGAATAGCCCAAATACCAACGGATTTATGCAATGTTTTAGACCTATTTTAGCTTTACACTTTACCAAGTGCTACACACACACACACGTAGTAAGATTGTTATGATTATAGTAACGATTTCATTATATTATATTTTATGTCAGAAATAAAATGTTAACCATTAGAGAAAAAAATATATAACCGTCTCACAGACATTACATTATGTATCGCTACTTTCAGTACCACTGACATTTACACCCTTTTTCCAATTGATCTTCAGTTATTACTTCCTCCAAACCATCAACGTGTCTTTTAAACCCCATTCCTACAAGACTGCTCAAAGAACTCAACTAATTATAGGCCTGTCTCAATCTTCCTTTTACACAAAAAAACCCTCTTCTGATATATATTAAAAAAACAAAGCCCTTTGGGGCAACTGTGGTTGTGATTTGGCCTATATATAAATTTGAACTGAATTAAATTTAATTTATTTGACGTGTTTCAGTCCAGTTTTAGAGCTCATCACAGTACTCGTAGCAGTTGTGAACATTACAAATGATCACGGTCGCTGACAGTGGACACATCTCTGTGCTTGTTCTGCATCAGGCCCCATCTTATCTTAATGACCTTGTAGTACCATATCACCCCATTAGAGCACTTTGCTCTCACACTGCAGGCTTACTTGTGGTTCCTAGAGTATTGAAAAAGTAGAATGGGAGGCAGAGACTGACCATGTCTCGCACACTTAAAGAACTGTATGACTTATTGGGCATTAAATCTGTTTGGACCAGCATCTACCACCCTCAGACTGACGGGCTGGTGGAGTTGCTGAATAACAATAGTAATGGATTGCATTTATATAGCGCTTTTCGGGACCCCTCAAAGGGCTTTACAATACCACTATTCATTCACACGCTGGTGAAGGAAAGCTACAGTTGTAGCCACAGCTGCCCTGGGGCAGACTGACAGAGGTGAGGCTGCCATATTGCACCACCGGCCCCTCTGGCCATCACCAGTAGGCGGTAGGTGAAGTGTCTTGCCCAAGGACACAACAACCGAGACTGTCCGAGCCGGGGCTCGAGCCGGCAACCTTCTGATTACAAGACGAACACCCAACTCTTGAGCCACGATCGCCCCTAATAAGACTTTAAAGTCCATGATTCATAAGTTCATTCACAAGGATGATCACTCAGTCCCAGTTGTTTGTTGTTTGCAGTGCGGGGGTGCCTCCACTGGATTTTCTCCCTTTGAGTTATTGTTTGGCAGGAAGCCGCGGGGGGTGTTGGACCTGAGGGTCCAAATCCAGCAAAAAATGAGATCCAGTATTTTCTGAACCTGAGAGCAAAGCTGCACACATTAGGGAGGTTATCATGAGGAAATTTGCTCCAAGCCCAGGAACTTCAGGAGCGCCTGTACAACAGAGGGACTAGGTTTATGGCAATTTTCACCGGGAGATAAAGTGCTTGGATTACTCCCTTCTTTCAGCTCAAAGTTACTCACCCAGTGGCAGGGACCCTTCATGGTCACACAGCGAGTGGGTGACGTAGACTATGAAGCGGTATGGTCAGACAGGGGAGGAGCAACACAGATTTATCACATTAACCTCCTAAAAGCATGAGGCTGAAACTGCTTATTTGGTGAGCCTAGTGAAGGAGCGAAATGATTTGTGGGGGTGGCGGTAGAGCAGATCAGCTACTGATTAGAAGGTTGGTTTGATTCCTGGCTTCCCCAGTCTGCATGCCAAATATCCTTGGGCAAGATATTAACCCCAAATTGCCCTCCGATGCGTTCATCGGAGCGTGTGAATGTTTATTAGTTGTACTTGTGTTTAGAAGTGCTTGTGTGAGTGGGTGTGAATGGGTGAATAAGGCATGTTGTATAGAGCGCTTTGAGTACTCCGGGAGAGTAGAAAAGCACTATATAAGAATCAGTCCATTTACCATTTGGGGCTGGTGGTGTCAACTTCATTCCACCATTGTGGTGACCATCTCAGACAGGCCAGAGACCAGATGCCGCTGGATTGCAGCAGCTGTTTGCAGATGTGTTCTCCCCCCTGTCCAGCCTCATAGAGCACCATTTTGAAACGTTCCCTGGCTTGACTGTCCGTTCATGGCTCTACAGGTTACCTGAACATAACAGACATATTGTTCAGAATTGGCTGAAATGCTAAACCTGGGAGTAATAGAAGAGTCACACAGTGCGTGGTGTAGCCCCATAATTCTTGTGGTGAAGAGAGATGGGTCTATACGATTCTGTGTCGACTATTGTAAGGTGAAGTGCCACAGTTTGATGCTTATGCCAGCCTTCGGTTAACAAGCTTCTGGACTGGTTAGGCCAGGGCTGTCCATCTCCATCCCTTGAGGCCTGGAGTTGGACACCCCTGGGTTAGGGACTGCTTGTTTTTTCATTACACTGGATTTAACAAAGGGCTACTGGCAGATTTTCTTCTCTCCAGAGTCCAAGGAGAAAATGGCCATTTCCACTCTGTAACAGCCATCGGACCAAAAAAGAGTTGAAGGTCTTGGGGCTGGCTGGTTTCTACCGCCGGTTTGTGCCCATCTTTGTGGACTTAATCAGCCCGTTTGCCGATTTCATTAGTTAATATTAATCTCTGGCTGTCTTCCACAGTGTGTCTTCATCTTGTTTTCCTCCCCCCACCCCAGCTGGTTGTGGCAGAAAGCCGCCCCTCCCTGAGACTGGTTCTGCTGGATGTTTCTTCCTGTTAAAAGGGAGTTTTTTCTTCCCACTGTCACCAAAGCACTTGATCAAAAAGGGTCATACATTTTTTTCTCTGTATTACCGTACAGAGTTATAAAGTTCCTCGAGGCAGCTGTTGTTGTGATTAGGTGTTGTAAGTTAGTTGTGGGATAAAATTGAGGCAGAGGCAGCCAGAAGGGGACAGAAGGGGGGGGGGGGGGGGGGGGGGGGGGGGGGGTTAGCCTCCTCTGCACCCTGGTGACATACCCCTACTCCAAGGTCCTGCATGTGTGGGTGGTTGTGGTGGAGCGGGAAGAGGGAGGCAGCTGGAGATGGGGAGGGAAGGAAGGGAGGGGCAAGTGACCCCTCCCTGGGGCCAGCTCTCCCGCTGACCCCAGTAGGCACCCCCATACTCCGCGACCCGCCAGGGAAAGGGAGCCCAGGCCCATCCAGACCGGGGCCCAGTGCAGCAGCGCCTCCCGGCCCCACAGAGCCCGGGACAGTCCACCCAACCCCACCACAGAGAAAACTGCACCCACCCCACCATCCACTCATCTTCCAGACTACATAAGACAGTAAACACCCAGGCTGAGATCTTCCTCCACCTCTCCTGTATCTCCCCCTCCTGCAGAGGGAGCTCCTGAGGAGAGGAAAGCTCCTGCAAGATGTGACCATCTCCCCCACCAGTTGAAGAGCCCCCCAGGTGGCTCGATGCACCGGCGGCACCCTGCGCCAGAGCTGGGCCCCCATATCCCTCAAATTTATCCCACAACTTAGACATTCACATTACTCACACTCTCATTACACATACATATAGGATCTTGGGGGTGGGCACGATACACGGAATCCAAAGTACCATCAGGGTGTACACCCCACCCCTGGCGTCGTTGCCCACCTCTCAATTTTAAATACACGTAGACATTGAGGGCTAGCAGGAGGGACTATGCGCTTACCTGCTGCTCTCTGGCAGGTAGCTCCATGCCCTCCTGGGTTTTAAATGCACCTTAGAACACACATGCATCAACACTACAATGAGCGGGTGGAGGGAGGTTTGGAGTCTTCTCTCACCCCCATTCTCTGCGGCCTGCTGGAGCGGGGGGGCTAGGAGGAAGAGTTGGCCGTCCGACTGCGGTCTGGAGTGTGGGGCCTCCCTGCTGCTGTGGAGTTGGGGCGGTCTGCCTCCCCCCACACACACCGCAGGGAAAAGGGTAACACTACCTGGGTCTGGGTGCAGTTCCCCCCTCCAGGGGCAAGGGTACCTAGACCCGGTTTGTAAAGTACGCTTGGGAGTGTGATCGTGTGTACAGCGTCTCTTTATGTCTGTCTCCACGTTGGTTGAGTGTGGAGTAAGTGCATATGAGAGCATGAGGGTGGGAATGGATGTTTGTATCTGTGTGTGCCTGTATGTCTGTGTCTATATGTCGGGTGTCAGGCGCCACCTCTCTGGGGACATCTCAGGCTCTCCAAGGTTTGGAGGCCTATCTCCCCCTACCACCACTTCCCCTGCCAGTGGCGGACTCCCTCAGACATCGGTGCGTTGGTGGTTCTTTGTGTCTGGGGATGGGCGTCCAGGTACACACCGGCTCACTCCTTGGCGGCCGCTTATCGGGGCCTGGAGCCTGGGGCTCGCTCGGGCCACTTCGGAGGTGGGGTGCCCCCGGCCTCTCGGCCTGGGGCTCGGTCACTCAGGCACGGCTGGCTGCCGGCGGAGCTCACGGGCGCGTCACTGCAACTCCCCCTGGCTTCTGCTCCACGGCTGCTGAGTGAGCCCTCATCTGGGACTCTCCTCAGCTCTTTCTGGGACAGTGGCGCAGCTGCCCCTCTGTTGGTCTTCCTTGGTCTCTTGTGTTCTGGGGGCCTCTGGATGTCTGGAGTTTTGATCTCCTCCATACCTGCTTCATGCCCTGGAGGACGGGGCTGTGGCCCCCCCACACTCCCTAGCAGATCATTACATGAAGGAACCTTTTAAAAAACAAAAAACAAGCGCGTCCATGCTCACAGGTGTACACACGGGTGATCACACCCACAAACTACACCCTTTTTGGCTCCTACCTCAAAGCACACTGTGTTCTGTTGATCTTATGTGCTGCACAATAATGTTTAACATTTAGTATTTACTGTCATATTCCCATATATCATTGTGATGTTGTTTATTCTATTACTCTTGTTCTCTTCTGCTTGCTTTCTTTTTTCTTTCTCAACAGGTGATCCAGGTGATTGATATATGCATTTTTTTTCTCTGCCCGTTCTGTTGGTTTTTGTCTTTTGCCCTTCTCCCCCGTCCCTCTTCTCAGCTGTTTCTCTTTCCCTCTTTCTTTCTCCCCTTCTTTTCCCCAGTCAAGTCTGTCCTGTATTCAGTAAGTGAAAATAAAATAAACAATAAAAGGTGAATCAAATGGACCATTACGGCAAGGCTGGGATGGTCAATTTGGTAAAGTAAATCCGTTGGGCATCTTTCTTTGCCTTTAGACAACAATTCTGATGGCAAAAGAGCCAAACGGGACAGGAAAAAAAAAAAAAAAAGGTGTTGTAAGTTAAAATAATAATAATAATAATTTAATTGTACATAACTATAGTTATAATATATAATATCACATTTAGATAAATGTTGTTAGTCACACTAACTAATAAAAAATAGTTTAATTTATCTAATAAAATAATACACCCCCCTCAGGAAACAAACCCCTCCAAACATTTGGGTCATTTAAATCAGATGATGCTCTCCTCCAGTTACAGGACTGTTTTGATCTGACAGACTGGTCCATCTTTGAACAGCAGGACCTGGAGACCTCCTCTCAGTCTGTCCTAAGTGCTGTGTACAGAATGGGACATTTAACAGAACCATCCAGGTTTTTCCTATCCAAAAACCTTGGATTACAAGTGAAGTACAAGCTCTGATCAGAACTCAAAGCTTTGCGTTCAGGCTGAGGGACAGTTCTCTATACAGCACTGCCAGAGCCAATCTGAGGAGGGGTATCAAATAGGCTAAGGAGGCCTACAGGAGAAAGATAGAGGATGAGGAGGATAACTTCCTCACAGACAACAATCCCTGCCAGGTGTGGCGAGGTATCCAAGCCCTTGCCAGCTTCAAAAGGCCAGAGCCCAAAACCCCAACAGCAGCCTCGAACCTGTAGCAGCTCAACACCTTCTTTGCTCTATTTGAAAACACTGCTCGCCCACTCACCATGTCCCCCACCTCACCTTGACCCAGCCGCCCCCGCAGGAACATGAGGTCAGGAGAAGACTGAGAGTGGTGAACCCTAATAAAGGAGAGTAGGTGTAGGAGTAATAGGAGAGCTGCTGGCCCCAATTGCATCCCAGGGGCTCTGGTTCAAGCCTGCACGGATCAGCTGGCAGGGATCCTCACCAGGCTGACTCTATTCCCACCTGTCTGACAGCCTCCACCATTATTCCCATCTCCAAAAAGACTAGAATAGACAGCCTCAATGACTACAGACCTATAAGCCCTCAAATCTGTAGTCATGAAGTTTTTTGAGCAGATAGTGTCTACCCCCTCCCTCCACCCCCAGCTTACAGAGAAAATCAGTCCACGGAGTGATTCACCAGTTCAACAACACCCTTCACAGAGTGCTGACCCATCTGAAGAACAGGAAGAGCTGTGTTAGAAAGCTTGTCACGGACTACAGCTCACCATAATCCCAGACATCCTCACCACCAAACTGGAGAAAGATTTCCTGACACCAGCATCAATCAGTCAGACTTGCCCCCCATGTCTGGGGGGAAACGTGGGGGGCAAGTCCCCACTGTCACTCAGCACTGGTGTCGTTCTCAGCCCCCTACTGTATGCCCTACGTATATGACTGTACAGCAACCCACCCAACCAATGTCATTGTCAAGTATGCTGATGACACCACTCATGGGCTCATCCTCTGATGGAGGTAGAGAACTTGTCCCACTCGCGCTCAATAACCTCAGGCTGAACATCCTCAAAACAAAAGAACTCATAATGAACTTCAGGAGGCACAGACAGCTCCACTCCCCTCTCATTATAAATGGAGAACAGGTGGGATGTGTCTCTGTTTCAGGTTTCTAGGCATCCACATCTCCACTGATCTCACTTGAACAAACAACACCAATGCCCTGGGAAAGAAGTCCCAGCTGCAGCTGCCATTCCTCTGTGTCCTGAGGAAGAATAACCTGGATCAGAAGCTGCTGCTGGCTCCTCAGTGGAGAAAGTGCTATCCATCTGCCTGGGTTTTTGCTACGCAGGGGCCACAACTGAGAACAAGAAGGCTGCGCAGAATGTTAGCATTGCCCAAAAAATCAGTGTCTGCCCTCTGCCACCCCTGGAAGCCCTCACCAGATCCTCCTGTCTCAGGAAAACGATGGCCATCAAAGGTGATGCCCTTGCACCCCGCCAACCACCAATTGGACCCAATGCAGTCTGGTTGGCACCTCGGGTCAGTCAGGTCCCACACCTCCAAACTTACCAACAGCTTCTTCCTGAGGACCATCAAAAACACTATCCTCTCACACCCCAACCCTGCCCACCCACTTCACCAATCTGAGCCATGGTGTGAGTAACCCCCATCACTCAGACCACTCACTTATTTTTGTATATATTTCTCTTAATTGTATATATTTCTCCTGTTTCCTATTTATTTCTATATTTTATTCCATCAAAGTCAGTGTGGAGCACCCACAGTTTTGTTCTACATGTACAGTGACAATAAAAGGCTGTTCTAATCTATTCCATTCTATATGAGAGTTTTGTTATATTGAGGGCAAAAATTGTTGAAAGAAGTAATTATTATAGAACAAACACATCATCATCCTGCTTAAGTTTAAAAACCTTATACTCTCAAAATCCACTAGAAACCAACAGAAATATGACAATACTACCTCTGAAAGAACTGAAAGATAATAAAAGATGAAAAATGAAGTTTTAGAAATCTATTAACGTTTATACAGTTATCCAGTAATCAGAGATATAGTTCATATTCAGTGTGATGGGAGAGATTTCTGTCATCCTTGTACTGAAGATTTCTTCCGTAATGGTTTTGTGACATGCACGATTGTAATAAGTTGTTTCTTTTTTTTCTTTGTTCTCTTTCACCACAAAAGTAAACATATGTAACTAACCTCAAGCGTCCATCCTCTGCTGCAGCTCCTCCAGGGATGATCTTGGTAATGAAGATGCCGGGGTCATCACCAATATGGGGGTTATCTGTCCCTCCAGCGATGCTAAAGCCCAACCCTGAGTTACCCTGCGGTCATGAAAATCTCATTGATACCAAAGCAGAACCCATTTTGTATAGTGTGGTCAAAAAATGTTTCTTATCCATTCACTTTTCTAATTCTCAGTTGTTTATGTAGTAACTGAGGAGGCTTCCCCCGGAGTATATCTACCACTGCAAATGTAATGAATTAATCATCTCTGAATGACAATACTGTATTCACAAGGAAGCAGGTGAACAATGTCTCTCAGAGAAGACAGGCTTAAACCATTTCTGACAGGGCTTCAGTAAACAGAAGACAGATAAACTGAAAGGTCGGGTGCATTTCTCGGGTCATGTATCAGGTTGTTGGCCTTCACAGGACGTGACTTTTATATATTGTTCATCTGCTGTAGATAGTTAATTTTGTTTTCACATCTGTTTTTCCTCTGTTTTTTTTAAGGACAAGGTGTACAACGTCCCAAGATATGCCAAGTTTTCGAGTAAATCAACACCTTTGTGAAAAATACAGGCATTAAAAATGTTGTTTAATGTCTGTTTTTGCTAAATTAACTGAAGAAATTGCAACAAATTTTGTGCTTTGGTGAAAAGTGCTAGCACTGAAGTTCCCATAATTTGAAAAATTGTTGTCTGTTTTCAAGTTGTCCCATTCACAAACTTGGGTTTCCATGCATGGGTGACAACAATACCCCATCAGCCTTTAACAGGTGAGGGGTAATTAAGTGCAGGCCTATGTGAATACAAATCTTCTGTCTGTTTTTATCCCTGTGCCCTCCTCAGCTTTTTCTCCCTTTGACATCTTCATGGAAAAAAATGTACTTGTACAAATTCTGACTAGAAATCCTGATACAACAATATTTCTTTCTGCATTTTGTTTAATAAGGGTTTTAATCAACTTGAGTCTTTATAAAAAAGACGATTCAATAATTTTCAGGATTTTAACCCTTTAAATTCCAATTTAAACATTTGAACTTTTTTTGTTTTTTCCAAAAAACACACAAAACACTTATTATTTTCTAATTATTAGTGCCAGATACGCACTCTGGATACCTTCGTGGACAAAAATGCCCCATTCACTTTAACTGAAACTATCTCTCTGCCACTGCAGTATAAAAACATGCATTCTATAATGTCTGCATTTCATTTTGAAGAAAAGTACTGATATCTGACATTTTTTCCATTGCAGGTCGAATAATGAAATTACTGTATTATTGTACAGGCGGCCAAAAGAATGATTGGTGTGGATGTGTACGAAATCATTTTTGAGGTATTTGGTGGTGTGTGTGTAAATGGCCTGCATTTGTATAGCACTTTACTTAGTCCCTAAGGACCCCAAAGCGCTTTACACTAGAGCTGTGGGTGAGTAAGTGCATGCATGTGAGTGCCAGTGTAAATCTGTATTAATTTCAGTGGTGACTAAAGGTCATCTTTGCGGGATATGTTGGATGTGTCTTTGAAGAGGCATTTGAGCAACTCAATGTGCTTACACATGGCCCACATACCGCAAAGAATGACGGCCCTTTGGTGGCCCAGATCTGGTTTGCCAGAGGTGGCCCACACATGGGCCAGCACAAGGCCAGCTGCAGGCTGGTGGTCCTGTGTTGGCCCATTTGTGGGTCACCTCTGGTAAACCAGAACTGTTAAACGTAGCACAAATGTTTGACATCAATTTTGTTTGATTCCATTAATGTGGGGGGGCTGGTTGACCTCTGATGACCTCTAGAAATTGACCTCACCCAACAGCGTGTACATGGGCACGTCGTCAGGAGCTGGAAGCAGATGGATTCAGAATATGCAGGCTTCGTAAGTCTTTGACCAGAATTCACTGAACCAGCAGCAAAATAGAAATGTATGGGTCTATTTATTTATTTAATTATTACAGTGACCCCCCCTCAAAAGAAAAAAAAACACTTTGGAGAATGAGCTACCAGAACCTTTTCTGTAATTTTACACATTTAAATCTTACAATTTAAGTCCAAAGAGTCGTGCTGACAGATTTCTTTCTTTGTAATAGCAGTCAGCAGTGGCTATGCAGAAAAACAACAAAGTGGGCTGTGTGTATAATGACTTTGACATTCCCTGGTCTGGAGGTATCTCCCAGGAAGCACTTGATGTGTCCAATGTTGAGAAGACAGTAGTTACTGCTAGTTTGGGTGTGATGTACACAGCAGCAGATGGCCTTAGCTTTCGTCCGTCAGATACACAGCAAAGCACTATTTTTGGTAGAGCATGCTAGCGGGCCGTCGTTATTACCGTGTTGTTTGGAAAATACGGCGCACTTAAAATCAATCCTTTGATTTTTCTGAAAGTCGACAGAGCCCCTTATAATCCCGTGCGCCTTATGTATGAACTCTGGTTGTGTTTACTGACCTCAAAACGATTTTATGTGCACGGCGCTCGAAAATCTGTCAAATGTTTCAGTACGACTTTGCTAAGCTACGAACCCGCACCGCTTGATGGATTGTCGGAGCGTTACGGCTATCGTAGGCGGAGCCTGACGGAGTGATACGTACTGTGCTTCAACATAATATTGCCGTATTGTGTGTGTATAACCTCTTAAGTTTTGTGGATATTACACATGGTTATGCTGAGGATGTGTCGGCCAGTTTCCACTGGAAACGCCTTTTGGTTAAACTGTCAGCGAGGAATTTGCATTTGCACTGTTACATTTTTCTATAACTTTAATGCACAGAAAACAGCTGCTTGTTTAAGTGAAAATACATTGATGGGTTTTTCTTTTTTGCACTAATAAAGTTGAAGAGTTGTAAAGCGTTTTGTCTCGTGTCAATTATATCTTCAGTTATATCGTTATCGCAAATTTTCAAATGTATATCGTGATAAATATTTTTGGTCATATCACCCTGCTCTAGTCTCCACCGCTTGTTTCCAGTCACAAGGAATCAGTACAACATGTTTCATTGAATGTATTCTCATGTAAAGTAAAATAGACAAAATGTCCTTTATGGTGTGACTCCTTTGTGAATAGTCACTATTGTGGAGCACTTATTTACACTTATTTATTCTTCTATTAAATGCAACATCAGTGCCTAGTAGAGCATTAAATCTACATGTATAGAATCATCCATCAAAGCTGATTAAAACTATTTAAACAAAGTTTAGTGACTTTGGCCCAAAATAAGATTCTAAAAAGCTGCAAAACTGAAATCTTATAAAAATAATCCACAAGCAGCGGTGATGTCACTGTGGCAATGTCCATTTTGTCTTATGGAGACAATAGTCAGGTCATCCCACATCAATTGTATAGCTCATAATATATACAAAATTAAATCTACAGCCTTAGCACAGATCTTTTTACAGGACAGGAACAATGTTTTGACTTTCCTGTATTATTCCTTTGCTTCTCAAAGACTAGTTTACTTCACCCTCACAGTCTGATTAGATGGATCTGAGATACTCACCCGCTCTAAGGTGATTTCTTCAAACTCATATTCAATTTCTGTGCTGTTGACCTGAGGAATGAAAAAACTGAATGAAGACACACACTTCATAGTTTCAGTCCACATTGCCTTAAATTACATGGATGATGTTAAGTGTTGAGGCTGAGCTTAAACTGAATGTGACGAGTGTTTCTCAGGGAAACGTGTAAAGTAGAGACTGTCTCATGGACAACAATTTATGATTGGTTATCAATGTAACTATTTTTTTAATATGGAGGGTCAACTACTGAGGGGTCAGTCTCATCTAGTACTTTACTTAATAAAAGTAAAGTAAAATAAAACTTAATAATAAATTATCAGGGAGTAAGTCTGTCTCTACTTGAGTAACCTAACAAGACAATCAGGAATAAACATTTAAAAGATAAATTCTCTCACATAAGGAAGCGACTCCAGAGTGTCTGTATTGATGATCACGGGAGCAGGGTTGGCCTGTAATGAAGACAGATAAGGAGAAAAAGTGAGAAACTTGAGTTTTACAGAAAAACCATCAAGCATGACTGTTCATACATTTACAGTTTGGGTGCTGACCTTGAGAGGAGAGATGTGAGAATGGGACACGTAGCCGTGCACATTTTCAATCTCTGACAGGTTCTTCTGTGAAACATGGACCAGCTCAGGAGCACGAAGCCCACTGGTGAGCTGTGGGAATCCCTGGTCAAGCAGGGGTGAGTCATCTTCTTGGTAGTGATACTGCAAAGAGTGGAAAGGGAACAAAGAGAAAGACAAATGATTGAGAGTTTAAAACAGGTCACAGGTACAGGAGAAACATCAGACTGATGTTGTTTTCAGGAATGACAGGAGATATCGCAAAAACAACTAGTCTTGATCAACTTTAGCAAATTCATATTTTGGAGATTATGTATCTGAATTTCAGGAGCGGGACCTCCAAACACGCTCCTTCTGGTTGCCATCTACAGAGGTTCCCCCAGTTCTGCAAGCTGTCGTTTTCGTTTACGTGCCCCATCCTCCCTCCCTCCCTCCTTGTTCTCATTTCGTTAACTTCCTCACTTCTATTTAAACACGGGGATCTGCCAGGCCTGGGAGCCGTCGCCAGTCCCCTTCGGGGCCTTCCCCAAACCGCAGCTCACTTCATGTCCAAGCATCACCTTTACCTACTAAAACACTGTCAATCCTAAAATGAGGACGTGGGCCCAGCTAGTTCATTATTTTGAATATTTGTTTTTGTAAGCATAAATATTGCAAAAATGCTTAAATATTATGACCTTAAAAAGAAAGACGATTATTTAAAAGAGAGTTAATCAAAATGAAACTACACACCCGCTTTAACAGTAGAGTTCTTTTAAGATTCTTCACAGATTTTCTTCTGGAAAAAATAGTGTTTTCAACAAAAGAGGGGATTTCAAGCTGTGACTTACTGCAACTCCAACCTTCTCTTTTAAAACAGTGAAAAACAATGCAAACAAAGAGTAAAAAGCTTTGAGTTGTAACTAAAGAGTGTAATTTCTAATTTGATACAGCAACATATTTCCAAACTGTTAAGACTGGGGCAACCTGGTGGATCATTTAAGTAATGTGGGTTATGATGTAGTATAATAAAAATCCGTAAGATGTAAAGATGGAGAGGGGTTCAGGATTGGTACAGCCAACAATGAGCCTGTATATAAATGCAGTGATAGTGGTAAGACCAAAGAGTTTATGGGCACCAGCAGTAGCTCTTAAGTGGAGTCTAGACACAATAAATGACAAATCTCCTGTCATCTTTGCATGAACAGCTAATGCTGTAGCTCAGGAGGCAAAGGAGCTTGCAAAGAAAAGCGTCTGGACGTCTTTAAGTTGCTTGAAGACGTTTCACCTCTCATCCGAGAAGCTTCTTCAGTTCTAAGGTCAAATGGTGGAGAGTCCCAGATTTAAACCTAGTGGGAGTTTCCCCCCACAGAGGGACAAAAGGTATGATCTGGGGTGGGAACTCAAAACTGGATTATAGATGGCAGGTTTGAGTTCCCTCCCCAGACGCCTTAACGCCCACTCACATCCTGGGCCATCTGACCTCAGGAAATCACATGATAAGGTGGGGCCAGGTTTCACAATGTGCTCACCCGAAACTCTGGCTGATTGGGACCCACACCCAGTTTCACACCTTGGCTCAGGTGATTAGAGGATCATCAGGGGGTCCTTTTGTCCCTCTGTGGGGGGAAACTCCCACTAGGTTTATATCTGGGACTCTCCACCATTTGACCTTAGAACTGAAGAAGCTTCTCGGATGAGAGGTGAAACGTCTTCAAGTAACTTAAAGAAGTCCAGACGCTTTTCTTTGCAAGCTCCTTTGACTACGATGACCTGGATGACTGAGAACCTTCACAGACATGTAGCTCAGGAGCTTAAGCAGGTCATTCACTGATTGGAAGGTTGATGGTTCAATCCCCAGCTGCTATGAGCCAACAATGCTGAAGCACCAATGGGGTTATTAGGTACAACAAGTGAAACAACACTTTGGTGTGTGTATTGCTGTAGGAAAAACCGCGTGATCAATACAACTGCTCTGTTGTACAGTGTTAAGTTGTGCTTATTAGGAAGTGCAGTTGTTGAGTTTGCATTCATGCTGCGAGGAAACATCATCACCACAAGAGAACCAAAGAGAAAAGTTTTCTCCAGTCTGTGGTCCTTTCACCCTTTTTTCTGCCCTCACGTACAGAAGCACAACAATTGTCACATTCACTTATATTTCCTAAATAAGACTTTGACTTGATGTTTTTCACTTATACTTCCTTTCAGAAATATGTTTGTAAATTCTGCATTTTACATACTGTATTAATCAATCGCAGAGTTTGGTTGATATGTACACACTTTCAAGCACTTATCTGCACGTCACACACGCAGGCGCGCCTTCATACATCGAGTTACTTATTGCACTGTTGTGTCTGTATCGTTCTGTTCTTTTTTATTTGCAATTTTTGCACACGTGCACTTTGTGTAGTCCTGTGTTGATTGTCATATGCAGCACTGTGGTCTTGGAGAAACACTGGCTGGCTTCACTGAGCACTGTATCACTGCACATGGTTGGAATGACATTAAAGCCATTTGACTTGACTCTTTCATTTAGTTAACGTTTTATCATCAGCTGGTTATGCCAGCGAGACCTTTCCTCACTCATTTGGTGTCCAGATGTCAGAATGAATGAACCTTCTTCACTCTCTCTCCACTCTCTTCATCCAGGCTGCCTGCAATATTTTTGTAAATCCAGCAGATGTCACTACTAAGCAACACAGTGTTAACGTTGTGTTGACACAATAAGGGCAATATGCTACACACTCCATTGACCCATCACTAATGGCTGCTCTGGTCTCCAGTCTGCACGCTAAAATATTCAAATACTGATACTCTCCGATGCTTTCACTGTATGAATGTGTGTGACTGTTAGAAAGCATGTGAATAAGGCAAGTCACATAAAGTATAGTTCTATATTGTGTATTTTGTTGTACAGTTATTTTATTTTCAACTTTAATTTATATATTTTATCTTATTCTTCCCAGTTAAATTTACCCTTCATTCTAATTTGTGTTGTACAGTTATTTCATTTTTAACCTTAATTTATATTTTATTCCTTCCTAGTTAAATTTACCCTTTTTAATTTTTCATATTTATTTCCTATCTTATTCATAGCCTTTTCCTTTTTTGTTTTCTTTAGGTCACGAGCAGTTGTCCAAGCATTTCACTACATATCGTACTGTGTATGACTGTGTACGTGACAAATAAAATTTGAATTTGAATTTGAAAAGTGTTTTGAGTTCTCAGAGTAGAAAATTGCTTTAAAGAACCCGTCCATTTATAATAGTTTGAAACAAATGACCACATACAGCATCATCACTGTAAATACTGTCAAAAGAAGTGCAGAGAATGAAGTGATTGCGTTATCACTGCCAGCACAGTGTACGCAATTTGGATGGGGTGAAAAAACAAAACAAAAGAGTTTCTCACCCAGGGAGTGTTCATCAGGGCAGGGTTCATGCAGGGCTGGGGCTGGCCATTGTGGGTTGGCTCATGTACTGCTGCCGGCCTGTTCTGGAGAGAGAAGGAGGACCATATGTGACCACTATGAGCAGACAGTATAGGTGAGACTTATTAACAATTCCATGAAATGAATTCAATTTAATCTGATAAAAATTAAAATTCTTCCTTCTGTCTTGTATGCAAAGCAGCAAAAAGCTGATGCATATGCCCGGATCAATGTGATGACTTGCATTTGACTTGAACACCATTAATCCATATTTTATTCACAATAGAAGATAGAAAACATATCAAATGTTTAAATTCAGATATTTTACTACTCCATGAAATATATTAGCTCATTTAGTGACAGCCTCAAAAAAGTTGTGACAGGGATAACAAAAGGCTGGAAAAAGAAAAGGAACAGTTTGGGAAAAGTTTCATATGGGAACAGGTCAGCAGTGTGACTGGGTATAAAAGAGCCTCTTACAGAGAAGAAAACAGAGACTCACCAACCTACAAAAAACTGCATTTGCAGATTGTGAAAAAAAAATCAAAAACTATGTTCCTCTGTGAAAAACTGCAAAGATTTTGAATATCTCAACATGTAGAATACATAATGTCACCAAAAGATTGAGAGAATCTGGAGAAATCTTCAGATGCAAAAAGGCTGAATATCAGACTTGACTGTGACAGTCAGACCCTCAGACCACACTCATTAAAAACAGGCATAGTTCTCACTAAATCACTGCACGGCAAAAGTTTTATCATGCAAAGAAGAAGACTTATGTGAACACGATCCATTACCCAGTGATGCTCCGCCTTTTTTGGGCCAATGCTCATTTAAAATGGACTGAAGTAAAGTGCGTAACATGAATTTAAATTTAACCCTCCCCTGCAGCTGAGCCAGGGACCACACCGCCGCCACACCCCCACCACCTGACTGAGGCTGGGGAGCCTCGGCGCACCACATGACCATCAACTTCAATCACGGTTGAAGGCTGAGCGCAGAGTGTCATCACTGCTCCAGTGGGAAATCTCCCCTGGGGGAAATTTCGGGAGCCAACAGGATCTCACTTGAATTTTTTTTTAAAGTAAAATAAATAAATAAATAAAGTTTTTTTTCACTTTTACAAATTAATTTGGATATTTTCACTACAGATTATGATAGAATACCTAGCACATCTACAGAATGGGGTTATTGTAAAAGAATAGCATTGTGGAAAAGTTCAAAATGAACAAAACATTTTCTAAAATTTCGCTCACTGTGAAAGATTGACCCAGTTATTGTCTGCATTTTCAAACTAACGACAGGTGGCTACAACAAAATAGAAAAGATTATTATAAAAGTACAAAAGTTGAAGTTTATCTGTAGCCTCCCTCTCATCCACCGTTCTCATTGCTCCACCTCAGTCTGCATCTCTTTCAATCCTCAGCTCTGCTCTTCAGGCCTGAAACAGTCTGATTCGAGCTCTGCTGGGGATTTCAGTCTTTATCTGCTCTTCATTCGTTCCCCACACTCTGGTCTCTGTGCTCAGGTCCACTATGGTTTTCTGGTCATTCTGTACAGCCAGCAGCCCACCTGGTTCTTCACCTGTCTGTAATCCACTCTGTCAGTCTCAACATTTCACCCGTGACTCAGTAACCGTAATGATAACACACGGCTGCAAATAAATGGCTTAAATTCTTCCTGAAGTCTTGCTGTGTGATGCACATGAATGTAGCTCACTACTTCAACTGTTAGTGAACAGTGTTGGTCAATTAAAAAAGTAATTAGTTACTAATTACTTCTCCAAAAAGTAATCCTGTTACTTTACAGATTACTTATTTTCAAAAGTAATTAGTTACTTTATTATTCAGTTACTTTTAAAAACATGATACACAGCCTATGTAATAAAGCAACAGAGCTTTCAGCCAATTCTATTTTTCTGCATAATCATCATATAAAATTGAATCAAATAAAATGTCTCTTTTAAAACTTGTTTTATTAGTTTTAATCTTTTAAGATTAAGCACATTGCATTAAGCAAAAATGTAATTATGTACAGCAGTGTCTGACATGAAGAAACTCTTTAACATTTAAACCTATTTCCTGCATATTCCAGCATATAAAATAAAATCATGTTTTGTGTTTACACTCTTTCAAATAGATGAAAGTAAAACACAGCAGAAAATAAATAGAATCAAAGATTCAGCGTCACTGAGTCCTGTCACTCTAAAATCTGGGGTGGGTGGAGGTTATCCCACAGCAGTCATGTCAGTGGGGGGATCCGGGTGTTTCATGAGACACTCTCACGGTTTAGTAACACAGCGTGCTTACGGGAAAGTAACAGTAATCTAATGACCTTTGCAATAGTAATCCCTTGCTTTAGTCGTAACTTGAAAAAAGTAAGTAATGCATTACTGCCCATCTCTGGTGCTCACAGGTGGTGCAGTTTGGAGAAATGGTGGTGTTTCCTCAGAAGAACTACCAGAGTCACAAAGGGCACGAGTCCATGTCACCACCTCGACTCGCTGCTGATTCTGATCCGAGGCGGCAGATCAACTATCCACAGTAAAGTAGAAATAGTTGTGAGTTGTAGAAACTCTTTAATGTTCTTTATAGAGGCGCATGTTGTATAAAGCATGTGCTTTACATTCACTGCGATTTGCTGTGATATGTGACACCTGATGTGAGCAGGAATGGAGAACATGAATAAAAGGAAGATGTTTTTATTGTTTGGCTAATGAAGGGTGTAAATCTTTAATATTATTTTTGCTTGGTTATTTTAGTGTTTTTCTAAACATGGAGAAAAAAGGCATAAGAAACTAATTTAACTTTCTCTCCTGCTGCAGATGTTGGCTGTGATCTCCGAGGCTGGAACTGGAGAGAGAGGAGTCATCATCCAGCGTCAAAGAAAACATCCAGGTAAAGGGACGTGGATCACTATTTTAGCCTTAAATTATCGTACTTTTAAATACAAAAACATTTTAAAGGACAACATTTACCATCCAACTCTGACCGTAACACAAAATAATGATCACCGTGAGTGTTTTCAAACTCTTCCTCAGATGGGCAGGCTATCACTGTCCAACCAGCCGACTTCAATAAAAGACTGAGACAGTCGGTGAAAGCAGCATTCAGTGAGCACCACAGGTGAGCGTGTCCCTGAGACATTCAGCATCTGATCCTTGTTGGCCTGTCTACTCTGCTTTGGTAAGTATCCTTACCGAACTACAGTAACTGTAACGCAGTCACTATACATGCCATCCACTTTCTAACTACTGATTACTTCCTGCCAGTTATTTTAGACCCAACACTGCTTCTTCTTGTTCAAACAGCTGGACAGGAAACTACACCAGTGTACTGTTTCACCAACACGTGCCAGGCACTGTTCCTGCCATTCATGGCTTAGCCCCGCCTACCTCAGGACCTCCCCTTGTCAAGTATTGATCATGATGATTATCATGATGACAATGAGCACAACTAAGACTGTAAAAGTCCACGACCATGACTGGTTTGCTGTCTCCTGATTATTAATGAATATCAGGAGGATGATTGTTAGTAAGAAATGATGACAAAAAACACAAAGTTCACCAAACTCACAGGTTACATTCATTTTGCTTTTTCTTCTTTACCAGCCACACTCTAACTGCAATTAAGAAAACAAACTTTAGAAATCATTGACTCAGTGATTTTATCAAATATTTAATGGGTTCAGGTAGAGCCAGCTTCTGCATTACCAAGAACATGAAGTGTGAGACAAATTTACTGAGACACTCTCAGTAAGTTTGATGGGCTGCTTGTCTTTCTGTTTGTAACCACTGCCATGCGTTTATGAAGTGGCTGTTTGGTCTCTCCAATGTAGAGCTCTGGACATTCCTCGCTGCACTGTACCGCATGCACTACATTGTTGAGTTTGTGTTTGGGATGAACCAGTTTGTGTCTGAGCGTGTTGCTGGGTCTGAAGTACACTGGGGTGTCGTGCTTGGAGAAAACTCCTCTGATAAACCTGCTACATAGGGGATGACAATGTTGTTGCGTTTGTCTTTCCGATCCTCCCTAGTTGGTGTCTGACCTTCTTTTCTGTGCATCTTTGCTGATTTGATGAAAGAATAATTAGGATAACCGCATGTTTTAAAAGCTTCCTTTATATATGTGTGTTCCCTCTTTTCCCCTGATGGCTTCTTTCATGCCTCTTTCAAACCATCTTCTCCGGCTCTTTTAAAGGGACAGCACCTAGCCACTGGCACAGAGATGTTGAGGACACCTGGGTCAAAATCAAAACCTAAGACGTGGAATCCGTCACTGCTCACATCAACTCTGTGGATGTAACATAAAGTTGAACATAAAGTTCACCAGGGAAGACACAAAGATAACAGTTTGCTATTCCTGGACTCTGCTGTGCACAATGGGGAGAATGGAAACCTCAACAGTGAAGTTTAGCTGAAGCACACACACACAGACCAGTACCTCCTCTGTGACTCCCACCACAGCTGGACTGGCCGATGGTGATTTTTCATTTTCATGGGCCAATGGGGTTTTCTTTGGTTTTGTTTTTTGTAACGGCATGAACAATAAAAGCTGGTGGATTGGCCAGATGCTGGCAGATGTGTAAAAATAACTCAGTTGTTTGGTGGTGGCTATGGTGGAGCTTCCACAGAGGCAGCAGGTGGATGAGGGAAACGGGAGGCAGGAGGAGAGCCCCGAGGCAGCCACCAGTCCGAGTGTCAGGTGAACTGAACTTCAGGTAAGAAGTTATGACCTGCAGTCTCTCTGGGTCAGATATAAACCAAGTTTAGGTGGAGTTTATTTTCGTTATGCTGACTTTTTACAGTCAGTTACAATAACATGCTAGCTAGTACAATACTGCGTGCTAGCTAGCATGACGGCGTTTCTATACAGCTGGGTGGTTCTATGATGTTACTGATGGTGAACTTTATTTATAAGGTTAGTCTGTAGAGTTTCCAACCGTCCTGTAAAAACACGGAATCGTCTCGTATCCAGAAAAAATATTACGCGTTTCGTGTTGAGATGTAAAGGAACAGTTTGTCCCGGACTTCAGCTACAATGAAAAAGACACAAAGCTGGATTTATTCTGTCGTTACGCTGCACAGCTGCCTCTTCTCCTCTCATCCTCTCCCCTCCCTCTCCTGTTTCTACTTCAATCATGAAACCGATCAATGATCAGCTGATCGGCTTTTCTGACACAAGTCACTTTGCGCCAGAAAGAGGAAACCAGCGGATGTCGCGCTAAACAACAGCAGCACGTTTAAGCTTGATCAGCTGTTGTTAGAATTTATTTAATATTAATTTCTAGTATCAGCTGATGTTTGTTGGCGCCACAGCCATAAATCTGCTGGTCATGATATTGGTTTGGATATGTGATGAGAGGGAAACATGAAGATGAAACCAGGAGATGTCCTTACTGGATCATCAGAGCTGTGATGGAGAAACAGGTTTACCTTTTAGGTGACATGGATGAGTTGAAGTTATGAACTGTTTCTGAGAGACAAATAACACCAGGATCCTTTTCTAAGTAGCTGACAGCTGGTAACTGTGCAGGGGCGGGTCTAGCAAAGCTTTTTTGTCCCAGTCCAGCCCTGACTCCATCACCCTCTGGAACACCAACTTGAAGTAATCAGGACCCTACAACACCGGGCAGAACATGTTCCCTCTAAGCCTGAAGGGACAAAGAGATATTTACTTTCTGCTGACCATCAGCTCAGATTCACCATCACCGTCTCTAACTCTCTAAATATGAACACATTTGAAAAATAAAGTTATGTTTACAAACATTCATATCTCAGAAATAAGCACAGCTGTTCATGTTTGCTATTACAGTTTTATTTGTCAGAGAATTATGAACTTTACATCGTGCATTGAGTTTAATAGGTCTGTCTCATGGCTGCACTATGAGAGCTGGAATAAACAATTAAAGTTGAGCAAACTTCAGCTAAATCTTGAAACAGTAGATACAGGTAGAAATGAGATCAGATTAATCTTTGGTCAAAAGCAGATACCTCCTGAGTTCAGTCCATCACATTAAAAAAGAAACGATATCATGCTTTTTACATACACTTCCAAATAATAGTCAAGCAGCTCAGTCTCACAAATAGGTAACTAAGATGTCTCTAATGCAGACGTGCACAGTGTAGTGCAAGCATTACAAGATCAGAAATGAAAACGTAACATTCATGTAAAACTACAGGCTCAGGATTTTAAAGAAAGGCTCTGAAAACAAAACTTTTTAAAACAGTATCTTTGCTGCGATCATCAAAATACAAAACAGACGTGAACAATTTTCAGTAACAAACCCTAACATTCACTAATATTACACATATCCAAACAACAAGGCATATGTCAAAGTTTTTGAAGTGAAGAAACATGTTGCTTTAAAAAGCACATGCAGTGTGTGGCCACGATCGTCACACTGTGGACCATGAACGCCACTTCTTTGAAGCGTTCTTCTTCTTGGAATCAAAATGGAAGCAGAAACATCACGATTCTCTTTGATCTACCAAAAGGAAAAAGCAGAACATCGGAGCTGAAACCAGTCGGGTGAAATAATTAGGATAACAATAATTCAGTGCATTGTCTCCGGTAGTCTTACGATTGTTGGTATCTGCTCAGTACAACTAACACTCGGTGTCAGGGAACTCCTGTGTGGAAACGAGTGGTTTTTATGTTTTTATGTACGTATTTAACTTCCATCCATTTAACTTAGGAGGAAGAAATGTCAGTTTGGTGCAGGCTGGTTAGTTTAGACTCTGGGTGCATTTGGTGCCCTGTTGTCTGTAACTCAATGAGTTGGTTCACTTTGTGGCTGGGCTGCATGTGCGGTTATATCATGTCGGCTTGGGCTGGAGTACCTGTTCCCTGTTAGGTGTTTAGCTGAACATGAGTAGAGCTTCTAGCTTGGAAGCACATCTGTGCACATAGTCATACTGTCACTGGTTAGTGTAAATGGCTCAATGTGACATAGGAACCTTTTAATTAATTTCCATAACCCGACTTGTATGTCAAAGAATATCAAACCTGGAAAAGCTGTTTATGGTCAGAATGATTAAAAACTGTAAAGAGCTTTTCTCTTTGCGTGGAGCGTCCACTGTGACTCTTCCTTGTAGAAGCCGTCACTCCAAAGGTCTTATGATAATAATGTTTTATGATTTACTAAGTTACTGGATGAACATGAAAAGTACGTCCATTGTTGCAAATGACCATGGGCGTGACCAGAATAACATCCAACTAGACGCTCAAAAGACGTCCTTAAATGTCCTGTAAGTGACAGAACAGATGAACGAACAGGTAATCGCTTACTTGAGATGAAACCTGCCCAGCTACTTTGAAAACAGCTTCTACCTGCTCCTCCTGTAACTGGATGGCTTCTCAGGGCTAAGCCGTCCTGCAGTCCAGCAGCCTTTATGGTTCTGCTGTGATTCACCAGGAACTGTTAGAAAGACACAAACACACAAACATTAACATGTTCCACAGTCTTCCAGTTTGATCACTTTGATTGTCTCATCCTGTGGACAACGACGTACACGGATGCAGGTTTATTGTTAACTTTTGGAGGTTTATTTATTGAACAAATCCAGCTCCACTGTGATGCTGAGCTGGATACGCACTTAAGAAAACGTGTGAATAAATAGACAACAAACTGCATTTAACCAAACAGACTGGACCCGTTATTGTTAACTGAATGCAAGACTTTAACAGTCTCTTCAATGTAAGAATGCAGGTCCATCAGCATGAGACAAACCTGATGACACACTTCATATGTAGCACATTTACATTTATATCACACACGTCTGCTTTCCTGTTTGTATACAGGCTGCCAGGTTATCACAGGGCCAACACAATACATGTGACACAAAATCCACTGAAGTGTTTGATATTTTAATCATAATGATGATTATTATTTAAAATATCACTATAAAGTTTATTTATAAATATATTTAGATTTGTTTCTGTAACCTAGCATATAAAGCTGAGCTGTTTCAGCTTCTGACCTCTGACCTCAGTGTGTCCTCACTGCAGCTTCCTCCTGGAAACACTTCTCCTTCTTGTCTTCCCCCAGTGTTGTTTCCCTGCCGTTAATATCATTCACTGTACCTGAGGAACAACAGAGGACAAACACTCACTTTAAGAAGTACATTCATACAGAGGTGATCTATGGAAACGCACTACTCCACACTTTGGTAGAGAAATCAGTTTCTGTGAAACATTTCTGTAAATGGTGTGGACTTCTTCAGGAGACTCAGCCAATCCCACTCTGATAACTGAAACTTCTGTGGATGAAGAAACTGCCAGACACCGTCCTGGAAATGTTTAAGAAATACAAGATCGCTATATAAATGACGATCATGTTAAAATCACATTAACAGTTGTTGCTCACCTTTGTTTCTGATTTTAAAAAGTTGTATCCCGTCAGCTCTCATGGCTCAGAAAAAGCTTTTTTTGGTTTCCAATCCAGTTCTGCTTGAAATTATTAAGGATACTTTAAAAGTGCTCCTCTGAAATCTGTGTTAAACAACAAGAAACATAAATTAGTAACAAAAACACAGTGCAGAAGGTAAGTACAGGCATTACACACCATCATCGGGCCTAATGCTCCTAAATCTGCAACTTCAAATCTCTGTGAGCTCTTCAACGTGTCTTCAAAGGGAAAAGTCCAAAACTTAAAATTTGATTATAAAAGGTTCAACACAGACACACAGACAGAGAGGTACCTTTTAATGTTTACTGGTAACCTGAGTCACTGATCATCTACAGCAGGGGTGTCGAACTCCAGGCCTCGAGGGCCCGTGTCGTGCAAGTTTTAGATCTCACCCTGGATCAGCACACCTGAAACAAATGATTAGCTCATTACCAGGCGTCTGGAGAACTTCAAGACATGTTGAGGAGGTAATTTAGACATTTAAATCAGCTGTGATGGATCAAGGACGCATCTAAAACCTGCAGGACACCGGCCCTCGAGGCCTGGAGTTCGACACCTGTGATCTACAGTATTACAGAGTCTGGCAGTCTTTGCTTGATGTAAACCAGGGGTGCTCAATCCCAGTCCTCAAGAGCTACTGTCCTGCAGCTTTTAGATGCATCCCTACTCCAACACAGCTGAATCAAATGTTTGATTACCTCTTCAGCATGCCATCAAGTTTGGAAAAGGCCTGATAACAAGCCATTCATTTGATTCAGCTGTGTCGGAACAAGGATGCATCTAAAAGCTGCAGAACAGTAGCTCTCTAGGACTGGGATTGAGCACCCCTGATGTAAACGTTACTGTAAGTTTCCAGCTGCCTCTCAGGTGTGACAGGTGTGCCAGCAGGAAAGAGTAATAATAACCTGCATCCTGAGGTTTGTCGTGCAGGATTAAAGGAGCCAGGCTTTGTTCACACAGCTGGGATTGTGTTTTACACTGACCCTGGGTCAGTATCATACAGTTTAAACGAAGCACTGAAACTTGCACATATTTATTACAGATGCATTGAAGCTAATCGAGATATTTGCTGTGAATCTGTTTTCTGGTAACTTTATTAACCAGTAACATTTCTGTCTAATCACTGTTTAAACAGTAACCGCTTTATTACACTATAAGCTAACCTTTACACCATAACTTTAAGCTAGCGCCATAAAGACGGTCAAACGTAATAATATTTACAAATGCATCTCAAAGCTGTTATATGTGTATTACTAACATAACCACATTAACATTATTGACACTCGCTGACTTTTAATAGTCATTCTATAAATGCTGTCCGTTTAAACGTCTTACCTGTAAACACTGCTGTATCACAGGATTCCAGCCAGAGTGGATTCTGGAGTCTTCCACGCTCCTGTTAGTGATCCTCCATCTGGATGGATGATAACAACCTTCTGAACAATCTAGCAGGTGGAGATGGCCCCTGCTGGCCCATATCTATGGTGCTGATTTCTGCTTATAACGCCCACTGAATGGCCTGATGACATCTGAGGCCGGTGTCCCCAGTGCCTAGTGTTCGTTCCCAGTCTAGGTTTTGGTTATAAAGGTTTCTTTGTTGCCTTTCACATTCTGTTTTCATCTTAGTTCTGTACCACGGACATCAGCCTTAATAAATGCATTGTTGGTTATTAATATTCACCTGCCTGTGAGTCTGCGTTTGGGCCTTTCCCTCTACAAACATGATCTAGGTCTCGCTGATCGTAGTTGAAACCATATCACAGAACTAAGCTAGATGATGCTGATTCATTTAATTCACAAAACACCATTTAAATGCCATCACTGCCTTTGAAGATGTTTGCAGACACACAGGGACAAATTATTAGTTTAAGGTTACTGACTGGAGCAATAGATTTTCAACACAGAATTTCTGCATTCACTTGTTTTCTTCAGAAAGAAACTTTACATGTATCTGAACACAATAACAGATTACTATTTTTTAATGACCTGATTCAGTATTATTAGCTGGTCTCTCTATTGAGCCATAACATAAATCACTGCTTTGCAATGACGTGCTTTAACTTTGTAATGCTCAAAGTAAAACTAAGGGTTATATTCTAGTTTACACAAAGTTTAAAAACTTAAGCAAGGGTTTCAACTGTCACTTGAAAGCATTATACCAATAGCCAGAGGTGTGGACTCGAGTCACATGACTTGGACTCGAGTCAGACTCGAGTCATTAATTTTATGACTTTAGACTTGACTTGAAAAAATGTTCTAAGACTTGTGACTTGACTTGGACTTTTACACCAATGACCTGGGACTTGAATTGGACTTGAACCGGTTTACTTGAAAAGACTTGATATTTTACCCCAAATATAAAATTTAACATGCATATTATATAGAGATTGAAAATGTGACGTCATTCACAGGTAGAACCGCAAAGGATTCTGGGAACTCGTGGCAAGCGGTACTAGCGCACGCAGGCTTTCAATTAAAATCAGTCACACAGCGATAAAAAGAAACACAAAAATGTCAAGAAGCTGTTGTATTATTAACTGCAATAGCCGGTCGCATGACAGCCACGGGAAGACGACGGGTAAAGAGATCGGTTGTTATCGGATTACGTTGAAGAGAAATTGTTCGAGCCATGTTTCCGAAGTAACAAAGACGCGACGGATGGCCTGGATTTCAGCCATTCAAAGATCAAATATAACGTCCCAGAACCCTCCAGCTCACAGGTTAGTCTGCTCCAAGCATTTACACGAAGGTCAGTGTTTTTTAGTAGTTAATACGTCACTTTCATAACATAATTGGTGATATAGGTTACAAGCAAGTCTGGCGCTGAACAGAAATTGTCGCGCTATGCTCCTTTGTTTATTGTGCATAAATAGTGAATTGTCCTGACACAATATTGCGTTTCGCTTCTGTTATTATGGTACATTGACAAAAACATATACTTTTATTCACAGGATAAAACAGTTGTTTTGTATCACTAATTGTCCAGTACGATTACAGCATACAGTATTATTGTCACTGCTACATTTCTGTGATGCTACCAGAAATTATTTCCACTACTAATTAATTACCGTTGAGCTCAAAGGTCCTATTAATAAACTGTTAAGGAATGTGTATTTATGACAACAATTTGTGAGACTGGTAAACTTATGATACGTACGATGGTCTTTCGTTCTACACGGTGCATTTCAAGGTCCTGCACCCATCCGTCGGTAAACTGTACCTGGGCTTGTTGCAGTGACCTGAAGTTACTAAACTTCATGAGTGTGTGCACTCACTCCAAGAACCGTATAATTATAAATATGCATATAAATATGCTACAATGAGATAGCTGACTTCATCTAACTAGCAAATGTTGTCCAGGCTACGTTGGTGATACAGTTTTTTTTAATGTGTATGATATTTTTGTCATGCGATTTTAAAGCTGGTCCTACAACCGCATCCAAGAATAACATGCAGCTTATCTCAGAACTGTCGGTGAAAATTATTCTTGGAGCTAGGTTTAATTGAGCTGCATTTTATAGAGGTGCAATTTCACAATTTGTGTATATTTTCTAAGTTCACTATTTTATCATGTGTTGAGAAAAACACAGATTTAAAAATTACATGGTCTAATATTTACATTTAGCATAACTGCAACATTATTTTTTCGTTTGTTTTTTTTAAAGACTCGAAAGGACTTGAAATTCAAAGTTTCAGACTTGTGACTTGACTCGGACTTTTACACCAGTGACTTGAGACTCGACTCTGACTTGCCTGACATTACTTGAGACTTGAGGATAAAGACTTGAGACTTACTTGAGACTTGCAAAACAATGACTTGGTCCCACCTCTGCCAATAGCAAATGAAATTAGTTTAGACTTGAGAAAAACATTTGCTGATGCTCAAAAAGCAGGAAATGGCTATGCAAAGATACTGTGGTGTTTCCTATAGTCAAGAACTGGAGTGAAAATTATCATCATGAAAAGAGAGACACATAGTACAAAACAACAGTGCAGAGAAAGAGCTTTGAAAGATTTCAAAGACTCTGGAAAGAAAACTAGTATGCAATATGTCTAAGGACCACAGAACACCCGCCAGCAACCCTGCACAGGAATGGACTGCAAGGCTGGAGAGCAAAATAAGCACCACTTCTGCAGAAGAGACACCTTCAAGCCAGACTGAAGTTTGCTAACAGCAACCTAGAAAAGGATTATGCATACTGGAAGCACGTCCTTTGGTCCGATGAGACAAAACTAGAGCTCTTTGGCCGTGTAGACAAGACATTTGGACAATTGTGGGGAAAATCTGAGGATTTGAGCACCTTGTTGTTCCAACATTACTGCACACGAGTCCTCACCTCATCCTGGTATTACACCTTTGGGATGAATTCGAGTGGAGACTGTGAGCCTGGCCTTTCCATTCAGTGCCTCACAAATGAACTTTTAAACAAATGGTCAAAAATTCCTATAAACACACTTTCAAATCAAATCAAAATTTATTTATATAGCACATATTAAAAACAACAAAGTTGGCCATAGTGCTTCACAGTCAGTAAACGCATGAGACAATTAAAACAAAACAATAAAGACAGGACAGGAATCAATAGGTGACAACACAACAAGCCAACTCGTAAGAATCAAAAGCCAAAGTAAAAAGATAGATTTTAAGACGTGATTTAAAAGACTGGATAGACTCGGCGGCACGAATATGAACTGGCGAGGTTATTCCAGAGTCTGGGTGCTACGCTTGCGAAGGCCCGGTCACCTCCTAGGTTGTGCTAGGAGCATCTGATTGGACGAATTAAGTGCTCTATTGGGATTGTACAAGTGGAGGAGTTGGGAAAGATAGCTGGGCGCTAAATTATTTAGAATTTTAAAAGTGAACAAAACTAAAGTTTGTGGAAAGCCTTCCCAGCACAGTTGAAGCTGTAGTAGCAGCAAAGTGTGGACTAAGATCATATTCAACTCTATGGATTAAGTATGATTAAGGGATGTCACTGAAGTTCATATGCGTGTGAAGGCAGATGAGCAAATATTGTTAGCAATATTGTGTACATCACAAAAATGTTTGAGTATGGGCTAGTTAAAATATGAAGACTTTTCATATTCATATAAATATGAAAAAAGTCCCTTGTTTGAGCACACACTAATATAAAAACAATCAGTGAGTGACTGATATAGAGAGACCAACCTGCGCTCTCTTGCCACATACGTAGAACAGTGTTCGTAGCGTCAGACAGAAACACATTGACTGTCAGTGGTGGACCTGCCAATTCTGGTATTCTATGGCAAATCCTAGTTCGACTGAACTGTGCCAAATAGTGAGTACAGAGCCCACTAGAGCCCACTAGAGCCCACTAGTGGCCCTGCAGGCCACTCTCATGAATTCTGTTTCTGATTGTTTGGTCAGAGACATTCACACCAGTGATCATTGTGTAGGGTTGTGACAGTGCTCATCCTGATGGGTTTGAAGACCTTCTATGGTAGTTGGTGGTATAACGTAATGTATTAAACAATATATTAAGCTTATATTGCGCAACAAGCTCACTATCAAAATGGCTTCTATGTCACCTTTTTAATATAAAATCTGCAAAGTTTCATGCTAATGTTCTTTCTTACATTGAAAATACGTGGCAGACGTTGATGGCTTACAATAGCCAGTCATGTTTGATACTTGTCTTTCAAATGTGTGTACTCATAGTTAATGATTTTCTCCTCAATGACATTTTCCCTAAAAACAAGCTGTGTTGTGAAAACTGCTGTTAACTGTTGCAAGGTGAAGGTTTTGGATAAATGCCATTGTTTATGATTAAAATGAGAGTAAAATCAGGATACATCTGTTGTAAAACTACAGATTTTTAAAAGCATTTTTCATATTTTGCTGCTAGTCTTCTAATTTCACTGAGGTCTTGCAGCACTGAGTGAGTGATCAAAGCTTACACTAAGCCTGGTTAGCAGGTTGCGTTAGCCAAGGCTGAAGGTGGTAGTGATTACAAGAGAGATTTGTGCTGTTAGGCATGACTGTGGCCACCAAAGTAAAACAGTCATGGAGCATCAGCACATGAACAGTGTTAAAAAGAAAACGTGACTTGCAAATAATAATAATTATTATTATTTTTAACCAAAGCCACCTTTAAAAACCCTCAAGGTCACCTTAAATTTGTACTACTACATTATTAGGTTACTGGACACTAACATGCACCCGTCACACAAGACGTATATAACAAGACCTGTGTAACTGAAACACCAGTTAGCCTCCCTCAAAGTGGGCGTCATCCCTACATCACTACCTCTATCAAACACACACACACACACACACACACACACACACACACACACACACACACACACGCTTAGTCATGATCTCAGACCACAGTAGCATGCAAAAACCATGGGAGTGCTGTAGAAACATAAAGGAAGCTGAGTGTTATCTTTAAAATAACAATGTCAGATGGAACATAAGTAGCAGCATCACTGATTTGAAGAAACAAATCTGATTGTCTCATTTTGTTTTGGTAAATTTAAAATACAAAAGAAAAAGTAGAACAGCTTTCACTTGATGTGAAGCTCCATGGAAGCTCGTGAGCAAGCAGGCGGGACTGAAGGGGAAGAATTGGTGAGTGAAAATGCAAACAGAAGGTCTGCTGGCTGAGTGATTTGCACACTTAATGGAAAACTAAAGAGACACAGGATGGGACTAATACTGTGGGTACAGAAGGATGTGGGAATGTGATACAAAGAATCTTTGACATGCTGTATAACGCAATAATGTAAGTAACGTGTGTGTTACTTTACTCGAGTTGTAACTTTTAGACTGGAAAAAACTGGCCACGAATGAATTGAACAGATTCTCCCCAACGTAAGCAGAAATCACACAGCAAAGATTGAATAAGTGTTGCAAACG